CGCATTTGTTTATTCTTGCTTTTATTTCTTCTAGGAGAAAATTTTTGAAATGTATGTCAGATAATGTTTTGCCTATGTTTTCCTCTAGGAGGTTTATTGTATCTTGTCTTATGTTTAAGTCTTTAATCCATTTTGGGTTTATTTTTGTATATGGTGTAAGGGAGTGTTCTAGCTTCATTATTTTACATGCTGCTGTCCAGTTTTCCCAACACAATTTGCTGAAGAGACTGTCTTTATTCCATTGTATATTCTTGCCTCCTTTGTCGAAGATGAGTTGACCAAAAGTTTGTGGGTTCTCCCCAGTTTTTAATCAGTTTTTTTTTATGTTGAGAAAGTTCCATATACTTCAAAAAGTTTTAATTACGAGAATAAGAAAATATTTAGGCAGATGTAAATTACTGTATGATTTAAAGAACACTTTTAAAAATATAGTTCACAAACTGAGCAAATGAGTATGGTCTTGGAAATGTAGATGACATGGATGTTTTTGTAACATTCTAAAACAGCAGAGATGCATTGCATTTGTGAAGTTTTGGGGAAGTTGAAACATTATCCAATGAGTTCAGTGGACATATTACTTTGTTGGATAACCACAAAATATTCTAATGTTAGAGGTAAAACCTTTTGCATATTTTTGATGTTTGTGATTTCCTGACGGGGAGGAAATTAGGCTGCAGAAGCACCTACAAAGTACTATAAAAACAGTGAGATAACAATTAGGACTTGGAGGATGGCCTGGCATGAAGAAAGGCTACGTTGCAGTTTTAATAGAAGCATTTAGTTGGAAGTGTGAATGTTTAACATATGTTGATCAAGGAAAAAATACTTTTTTCTTTTTCGTTTATTTTGTATCTATATGAGGTGATGGATGTCCCTAACCTTATTGTGGTAATCATTTCATGATATATGTAAGTAATATCATTATGCTATACACTTAAAACTTAGACAGTGTTGTATGTCAATTACATCTCAATAAAATTGGAAGAGAAAAAATTTTTAATTAAAAAAATGTTGATCACACCATTCATATATCATCACATTGCTATATTGCTACATTATAAATTTGTTTCATCTTATATTAATGTTTCAGTTCATTTAAACTCTTGGGTCAATAGTTTGAAAGTGATGAAAAGTTAATTCCATTGTGAGGAACATTTCATATCCATGAGAGTTGGGATATACTGCTGATTACAAGAATCTGGACTCAACCACACCTAAGCTTGAGATTTCTGCTATTATTATCTTGATGCATGATTTTGGACTAGATAGTCAACCTCTCTTTGCCTCAGCTTCCTCACCTGACATAGTGATGATAATAATGGTACTTAATCCATAGAACTGCTGTGATTAAATGATAAAATTGATATACAACTTTTAGCAACATACTTGGTAACTTTTGTTATATTCTCCAATGAGATAAATGGTGAGAGGAAGGGAGTGGGTAATTACTCAGCAATTACTATATTTTATTACTAATAGCTTTCTTATGATAATCCATTTAATCCTTTCTATCTCATGAAATATGTATTGTCCCATTTTACAAATGGGGAAACTGAGGTGTCCGATACAGTTTGTTTTGTCCTGTGAGTAACCTCAGGCAAGGAACCCCAGACATCAGGCTGTTCTCTTGTGAAGTGGGGGAAAAATTCATATTCTAACCTCCTGCTATGTTATGGGGCTCCAGTGAATCACATCACCAAGTAGAGCACGGTGCCCTGGAATCACCCCTGGAATGAAAATATCTCTGTAATGCTTCCTGCTAGGAATGAGAATTCTGCTTCATTTCCCTACCAGTACTTCCCCAGGACAGTCTGTCATCAGCCCCACAAGATGCCAAAGAAATAATGCAAGAGTCAAATAGCCTTTTCTGGGTGGGATGTTCTGACTCGCCAGAGCTTCTGGAATCTCCTCTGGGCTGACCTGTGACCAGTGGGAATGAACTCAGCTCAGATATGAGGAAGACTCATAAGACTCTACAAAGACTTTATCCCTAAAGCAGAGTTTTGCCAGATGTGAAAGAGTGTTTTGGAGACTTGAGTGATGGTCCATCTACTAGGACCTTTCTGACCTGTTTCAGGGAAGAAGGGTGGGGGAAGGTCAGAGTGACCTTCCTGCTTCTCTGTTTTCACAAACTCCTTCAGCTTAAAATATTCAGTGTACCAACATGCCATATTTTGGGGGCAACGTATTCTGAACCCCTTCAAAGCCCTATAGTAGGGAGGGTTAGAGACAACTGGGCAAATTTGATGGACATTTCAGAAATAGATTCAACTGAATTCTACTGGATGTGATTTAGTGTTATGTGTCAAGGGAAGAGAAGGCTAATGCATCGCCGTTAAATATACACTGAGTTTGAAGTACCTTCAGGATACCTAACTTTAAAGCTCAGTAGATATCTGGAGCTATGGACCTAGGGATCAAGAAGTCTTGAATGGAGCCAAGAGTTTTACAAATAAAGGATATTACAAATACTAGCTGAGTCCAACATGGGAGTGTCAAATTGCAAAGTAAAGAGACCAGACAGCAAAGCCCTAAAGGGCTTTTGAGCCTTCTACTTTTCCTCACTCCTGGTATCTATACTTGCGACTCTGAGCATTTTTTTGTATGTTCAGCCCTGCTGCCACAAAGGCCCTTCCATGGTGAAAAAAAATAAATAAATAAACCATTTATGAGGTAGGTAGAAGAACTGGTGTGGCTAGTGAAATGTTAGGATCATGAAATAGCCAAGTAAAGGGAATTTCAAGGAGTAGGTAGTCTCTGGCAATATCTGATATTTAGGAGACATCAAATAAAATATAACCTCTGAAAAGAGGACATTAAGTAAAACAATTAGGCCATTTTTAACCTAAAGAAAGCACTTTCTGTAATGTGCTGAGCAAGATAACAGAATATGTTGTATTGAAAAGAGAATGCCCGTGAGGACAGATTGTGTGTAGAAAACTCATTTAAGAAATTGACTAACAAAGTAAATTTCTCTGACAGAGAGATAGAACTAATAAGTTTTAAGGCAATCCTAGAGCTGAAGGTGAAGTGAAGAAAATTTACAGAAAACAGATGCTCAGGACCAAATACAGTAGCTCCTGAAACATTTTCTCCCATTACTAGTAACTAGTGTAATTTCTGCATGTACTAGGTGCTCAGTTAATATGCAGTTTTACTGACTCAGTTTTTTCCCTGTATAATTGAATCTTATTAAGTTTCTATACCTAGGGTTTTGTTTTGTTTCTCCTTTCTAGGCATAAAATTCAATTCAGCAATTTTGGATTTATCTGAGCATTTATTTCAAGCATGTGCTCACAAAGCTCTTCACACTAGCTGTTCTTCACTGCTTGCAAACTTTGCACCTGGTCATGCTTAAGGAAGCATTTGTGTAAAGTTTTAAATGTAATTAAAAGTGGTGTTATACTATTTTAAGTTCTGCTTTTTTCTTTCTACATTTTGCCTCTGCATTCTATTTTTAATGATACTATTCTATTGAGCATGAGATTGAGAAATGTGTTTATGTAATGCAGTGCCCTCTCCCAAACACAACCCTTTCCTTCACATTAAAAGTAACTATCACTATTCTGATTTTTATATAGTCACTTCCTTGCTTTTTAAAATTGTTTTCAAACAAGGGCCTACTGTATAGCACAATGAACTATATTCAATACCTTACAATAGTCTATAATGAAAAAGAATATGGAAAGGAACATACATATGTATAACTGAATCACTATGCTGTATACCAGAAATTAACGCAACATTATAAATCGACTGTGCTTCAATAATAAAAAATAAATAAAATTGTTTTATTACTTATGTATACATCCCTAAATGTTATAGTCTATTTTACTTTTTAAAAAATGCATGTTTTTAAAAATTATTTTACTTTTAGGTTTCTCTCTCTCCATTTTCTAATTTATCTGTTGAAAAACCCAGATCATTCATCTTGTAGGGTTTTCTCAAACCTGGAATTTGTTGATTTCTTTCATGGAGTGTAATTTAACATGTTTTCCCATCCTCTATATATTTCCTGTAAACTGGCATTTGGATCTAGAGACTTAGTTTCAGGGCCTCTTCCCCTTTACTTTTTTTTTCTTTTTTGGACAAGATTACTTGCTGCGTAGTGGGGTGTTCCTCCTCAGGAGACGCATAATTCTCTTTGAGATGAATGCAGCAGTTGATGCAAAATGCCTGGATTCATGATTCAATAGGGGCAGCTGCATTTGTGTTATATTTCTGTGATTTCTTCATTTGTTTAATGGAATTCTATGAAGAGAAAGTTATTCTCCTCTATTGTTTGGTTACCAGTGGTACAATTAATGTAGGAAGAGTAGTGTGCTTGCTTGATATTTTTCCTTTATTTCCACTGTTCACAATAAAAAACTTGGCTCTCTGTATTTTCTGCAAGTGGGAGATATCTATATATCTGTATATCTACACCTATGTATTTATATATGTCACCCCACAACTTTGTACTGATATTTCAAGTTCAGTGAAAAGTCAGAACTGCAGGGTGTTTATTTAAACTCTTCTGTCTTATATTCGTGTCTTTACTCCATCCCTACAAGTTCTTAAGGAGTAAGAAGACTGGGAATGATAGAATCAGTATGTCATACAAACCCACATTATACACGAAATATTCTTATAGTAAAAAATGATTATTGTTTTTACTACTATGCTGTTTGTACACTGTCAGAGCATATGGCACTTCTTTAAACGGTACTTCCCCCTGTATCCTTGCCAGTTAGAGAGCAAGTTGAAGATCATAGCCATAGGCTTTTGTGATTCTATTACTGTTGTAACAAAACTTTTCTTCAGTTGTGTGTATGAAAGAAAATAATAAAGGGAACCAAATCTATATTGACAGAAGAATAATTCTTCAAAAGAATGTTACATTAAGAAACTTGATAGAGCACTACTGTTGATGATTTAAACTGTTTTATTATATATTGGATTTCCCCTAAATGTAACTTTTATAACATCTTTTTTTTTCTGTTTTCTTTTGTGGCTAATAGAACATTCTAATATGCCAGTAGAAAAAAATATCACTTTAGAAAGACCTTCTAATATAAAACTCATCTGCCAATTCACAACATCTGGAGATTTGAATTCAGTAAATGTAACTTGGAGAAAAGATGATGAAATACTTGAGACTAATTATCTTAATGCAACAGGAAGCATCCTGTATACCCAATACATGTGAGTATACAAAATTTTAACCTGTGTGGTGAGATGAAATTAGTGAAATTCTAAACATTTTTGCTGCCGAGGCATTCTTTCCTTTGCTGTCACTTGAATGTTATGCTCATATTCTAATTTTCATATTTATAGAATTGTTTCTATTTAAAATTTTTGATTAATGGCTGAGTCTTTTCATTTTCATTAACATGTGTTTTGAGAACTAAGCCTGTGTTAATAACTTAAATTATCTTTAGGTTCACCATCGTCAATAGCAAACAAATGGGAAGTTATTCTTGTGTCTTTGAAGAGAAAAAGGAACAAAGGGGCACATTTAATTTCAAAGGTTAGTACTAATAATTTATAGAGTAATAACTTCAGCTTTATTTTCTTAGAATTCTATATCCTCAAGTTTTAAAACTATTATTACATTACTAAACATAATGCAGCTGAAAGAAAATCATCATTTTCTTTCCATTGACTCATAAGTGGCTGCTTTGGAAACGGAACTTCCCAGTGCTCCTTCCCCCAGTTTAAAGAACCGGTTTTTAATTTGAAAGACCAGGCTGCCAAGTTATTTGCTAGTTGTAGCAATCTTTTGAATTTATTTATGTAGCCTTCTAAGCTCAGAGCTTTAATAATATTCCTTAGGTGTCTGTGTTTTGTTCTCCTGGACTGTGAGAATATGCTTTGGTGTTCTGTCTCAGTGGCTCCAGGACTTGGGATTTTAGAAATAATATGGAGATGCACACAGGTTGCCTGGTTTTCATTTCAGCAAGTTAAGGACAAACCCCAGAACTTAACCCATGGCTCTCCCCTGTGGGAACAACTCAAAGTATTTTACTTTTACTATCATTAAATCAAAACTTAAAGGTCTCAATCTCATAATAAAGACTAGTTGTTCAAGTTTGGTAATTATCTTCACGAAAAACCCATATTCTGTGATAGATCAGTGAATGTCACTGTCCTTGCTCCTATTTGGGAAATACATTCTGTTGCCATATTAACTCTTTTGGGCTTTGTATCACATTAATTTTCCAGGGCACAAGAAAAATTGTTTTCTACTTTTCCTAAAAATTGTGAAATCTGGCTAGCTGCTCTGAAAATATGGATACTGTCCCCAAGGTCCCATGAATAGCAGAATGGCCTGCTTCATCACTGCCATGAATTAAGATGGTTCCCTCCTTAATCCCTCCCCGTGGTCCCTTTGCACTCACAGACTCCTTTCCTTCATGTGGTTTTATAAATGTTCCTTTTGGGTAAATATAAATCCTTGTATTCATGCATTTTGGTCTCTGCAAAGGCAGAAACGATTACCGTCTTTTGATTATTTTAATCACGTACATTCTCTTTTAAACTTCGTTTACCCATTTGCCAAATTTAACCTAGTGAAGGATACGTGTACCATATACATTTCCTTCCCTTACTCCTTTTCTTCCCTTCCCTTTTTTCTTTTCTTTCCCCAGTTTTTTTCTCTCTCTCCCCCGCATCCTAGTGAGCTAATAGGCACTAAACACATGGACACATACACACACTAACACAGTATCCTAGTAAACATTTTCTTGTCTTCTTTAAATGTGTAAGGAAGGCCTACAAGTCTTGAGGAAATACTCACCAAATCTTGAGGTCTTAAAGTGCTTCCAGGACATTCAACTTATAAAATTGCTTTTTCCCACCTTCTAAATCACACTGTTTTCTAGAAATACATACTAGTCATGTCTGTTCAAAGTTTAAATAATGAATATAGTTTTTTTATTAGCACTCTCATAATAAATTATTATTTGGAAGTGCTCATTCTGGCCTCTAATGTAAAGATTAACAAGCATTTTAGCTTTCAATATACCAATACATTTAATGCGAAGCATCTTAAAGAAGGCCTCTTGATTCATAGGTATTTTGAGATAACTAGGTTGATGCTGGCTGGTGTCAGGAGCACCTACACAAGGCCTAGGTTTGAAATCAAGTGCTTAAGGAATGCAAAGAGCCACTGAATATTTACTTTTTTTCTTTTTATAGTTTTCTTGAAGCAGTTTAGTCCAGTTTGTTAGTTTTAAATACCTAGCTAACAATGTAACTTTTAAGTATGTGCTGTACCTTAAGGATATTTATAAAATTAGTAAGTTGGGTCCTTCCAGATTTTCTTTGCTAAAATAATAATTCTTTAATTTATCTAATTTGAATATTGCTTGGAGGACTCATTTCATTTGACTACAATTTAAAGGCATCTGCAGAACAATTCCTATTATAGTTATTTAATTGGATCTTGTAAAACTTCTAGAATGGTGTGTATTTTTATAGATATCCTATTTTACTCTTTCTCCACATGGATTGCTTATGGCTTTTCCTAAGAAGAAGGGTTATCTTTCCTTAGACATACTAGAATTGAGTGTGGATGAAAAGCCTGTTTTAGATTGAAAATTGAGCCTCCCACACACACACACACAAATTCTGCTACTGACTACATGAGTCCACTAAAGTGTACAAGCCTGAGTCCTCAGAACAATTTATCAGCAAAGTCCCTCTTTTGCCTTCGTGGGAGCTGGTTGATTTACTAACTATAAGATTGTAAAGGGCCTCAACATCCTTGATGAGTACAATGCAAAAAAATCTGCTGACTCTGTGTGTTTGGCTGTTGATGACAATACAGGGGAGATACCAAGTCACACTGGAAACTTGCAGTTGCTAATATGTCAGTGATTACCTTTCATCAAGAAAGATAAGTGATGGTTTACAGCATTTTTCTTTGGTAGGTCAAATATTCTGATAAAGTTGCTGAAAATTTCTATAATAATCATCAATGTTAAAATCTCTTAGTAAAAAGATGCAGAAATTTAGTTGGTAAAGGATAAGTAATAGGACATAGAACTTGTTGGAAGACATGATGAGATTTTGACAGTATTGAGTGCTATGGAACCTGCCTTGGCTCAGCAACCTGTCCTCACTGGGAAGCATCCAAGGAGTCATAGAAGAGCAGCGTAATAGAATCAGTTGGAACTTCAGCTTCCAACCCCAGTGTTGAAGCCTAGTTAGCTGTTTTTGACTATATGGAAGAATATTTTTTTCTAATTTGATAATACCTAAACATCCTTCAGCCCAAAATGACATGCTGATGTTTTCTAGTCCATAATTATGCAATTATAAATCTCTAACCTTACAACTGCAAGGACTTTCACTGAATAGTTCCTAGACCCCATCTGCCCAGACACAAGTATGAACCAGTCTTCAAACTCAGATTCTTTCAACTCCAAGACTCTGTGTGTCCTACTTTATCCAGAGTTCCAGAAGGACAACAGGATGCTCTATCACTGTCCTTCTAGTCACAAATATTTTCAAATGTAAGCAGAAGCTTAGAACCAACCATTACGTCTGGACCAGTTTGAACAAATTAATATTCCCTGAGCACAGTGCACGTTGTAACTTAGATCCACACCACTGTTATCAGCCACTTAAAGCATAACAGAGCAGTGGTTAATGTCATCTTGGCCATTAGTCTAGGAGATAGTCAAGAAAACAGAAGAGATGAAAAGAAAGTAGAATTTGGGTTTTGTTTTTCTGTAGCATCCCTCAGTTATCTGCAGTCTCTACCCCATTTAATTGGGATGATTTACTAACATACCCATGTGTTCCTCACCCAAACCTTATACAATACCCAGGATTTTCTTGAAAAGCCCCCCTGCAGCTACCAGTTTTACTTCCTGAGTCTGTGCCTCTTGGAGGCTTCCTACAGTGTGTCTTCTGCCATGTTTTTCCCTTCAAACGTTGCCTTTCTTCCACTTATGATTAGAAGTCATTGGGGAATTTCAATATTTTGATCATTTTTCAACACACATTTTCCTGCTGAAGCATGACCTGAGTAATTTCCAGAAAGAAGCATGCTGAAATCAAGAACTAGAGTATATATCTGGGAGATCCATGAGCTGGGAAAGCAGAAACTTTGCCCTTAACTAGTGCTCAGCGGAACCAGTCACATAATCTGCCTTCAAAGCAGTGTTTGTTTTCAGTGAGCCTATCCTGGCTCTAGAAGTAACTGCATCAGAGCCACACTGTTAATAAGCAGTGCCAAATACGTACATGTTGTACCTCTCCACGTGGAACTCAGGAAGGGTGGTTCTGCTCCATCTGAGGTTTGGAAGGAAATTTGTGCCTTCAGAATAGAATCCATATTTTAGCTAAAGCTCAAATTTCTACCTAATCTGCAGGTCTTCAGTAGAGGTCTCTCCTACAGTAAGGTTGATCTTTCCAAGTGGGACTTTATCCTTCAAGTGCATGTGTTTTCTCACACTTCATTTAGTCATAAAGCCACACCAGGTGCCGTGTGTATTGGAATGAAGTATGATTAGGACGTGGTATTGAGCTGATAGTATTTTGTCAGGAGACCCAAGAATAACTCCATTCTCACCTGATCCAGTCATTCCTCTTAACAACAAAATCGCAAATATGGAAATACACACAGGAAAGGAAAACCAAAGTAACGTAACCTTTTATTATTGGCCAGCCTTGGTCCCAGATCTTGCTGAGGTCCTTGGATCGCATCTTTCATTTTTTCCGTTAGGTCTTCCTAACCTTACACCAAAGCAGTCACCAGTTCCTTCGCAGTCCAAGCTCAGTGTGGTACTTACTTTTTTCTACAGGAGGATATACTCTCCTGAACCAGAAAAAAAGATGCTGAGCATGAGGCTGAGTTAGTTATACCTCCAAAATCCCAGTCCTAGAGAAAAAGGCCCAGTCAGTGCCCTGGAACACCATCAGTCCAGGACAACCCTCCTCTCTAGGACTGGAAAACTAGAAAGTTGAATGAGAGGAGGGAACTTATACTGAGGGCCACCGGGGACTTCAGTCCAGACCACTGCCCAGCCTTCTGCTGCCTCTGCCTCCTGTGTCTAATGAGAAACTGGCTCTACCATTAGAAAAACTAAACAGAAATACTATGTTCTGTGGTTCAGCCTAATTTAGGGCTTTCATATTTTCACATTTAAACTTATTGTCTTGTTTCTCAGGAATGTAAAATATAGTTGTTATGTTGGTATCAGGACACATGCTTAACCTTTTCTCTTGGATCCTGGAGTTGCTTCCAGTTTTCTTATATTGGTTATTTTCCTCCAGTACAGTTCTGTCTGGGTCTACCAATGGCCCTGAAGGGGTAGCCACAGGCTGAGGAAACTGAAACAAATAACAAAAGTAGCTTGATGTAATAGGGCAGAACACTTATGTGAGAGAGATCCTCTTTGCTTTTATTTTTAAAAACGCATGTGTATGGTAATTAATTCTCTTATTTAAACATTTAGCTCATGGTGTCTTAAAATATTAGTTACTTTATCCTGCCTTTTCTTGTTAAATCCAATATGTGGTGAATGGGCCCTTTCCTTCTTATTTTGGGGTTTTACAATAATATGTGAAGTTATTATTCCGTGCATTCTTTCTGCTCCATATACTGCATGGGACTGGAAATAATATTTTCTAACTTTTAATCCTGATTTCTTTATGGTAAGGAGTGGAAATTAGGGCTCCTGATTTAAATTTTTCTAATTTATACTTAAATTGTAATCCTTATACAAACAAAATCTTATTCAGCTGCTTTAGCCGAGGGCTTGAATATGTATTTCAGGCAGTAGAATTTGTTTTACAGCTTCATTGAAAAGATTTTTTAAAATATGTGTTATTGAGGGATGGACTGGTGCCATCACCAGCCTCTCAAAGCTACTGTTTCTTCATTTTTCTGGGCCTTGTTTCCTGTGAATTCATCTTGAATTTTTCATCATTTTAATCTCTTTTAATCATCTTTCTCAGATGGGCTGGGTTTTCTGTAAGACTCAGTTTGGACTTGTTTGGGGATATTTCTACATATTCTTATGGCTCTGAGATGAATTTGGATGAATTTCCGGTTCTCCTTGTATTCTAGGTCTTATTTCTTCTCTGTTCCCCATGGCCAGCTGGCCTAGAAATCATTTTTGCACATGACAACAATCCATGTTATTAAACTGGCTAAGGTAGAAAGGCCATGGGTGTTACAAACTGTAGGAAAGCTCAGTTAAGGAAGGCAGTACCAGTACACGATCACAACAAAAGCTTGAATTTTGTTGTGTTTACACTAAGCACTTTATGTACTATGTTCTTGTACTTAATTCTTTACAGAAACACTGTAACAGGGGGGTCTGACCTACCTATGTCCTCAACACTAGTAACACTGAAGCTATAAGTCTAATTCAAATATTTCCTGGACCCAAATTTTATATTTGTCACATCACTGTCACATTATGCTGACTCCTTCAAACACTCATAACCTGATCTTTGAAATGGAACCTATTAACCACATTTCTCCTAATGTCCCTCAGACTAATGGTGCCTCAAACAGAGTGCTTAGAATATATTCTGGCAAGGTCAGCTCATCACTTCCTTCTGGCGGGGATGACTTCAGTCACGCCAGTTGCATGTACTCACTTCATTCCTCCCTCAGGAGCACCCTAGTGGTACTGTACTAGGTACTCATAAACTATTAGTGGAGTGATTATAAATTCTGATTGACAGTTCTCATCTGTGGTTAAATGTAAGACTGTAGATCATTTGGTTTCATCAAAACATATTCCCTTGGTTATGGAAGGTATGAGAACCACTGACTTACAGATTGCTCTGTCATCTTTCCTATGATTACTTGAACATTTATACTTTCATTGGTGACATAACCTTTCTCTTATTTGTATCTTTTCATTATTAACAGTACCTCATTTAACACTCGGCTGGTCAGCATTTCTCATGAAGGAGAGGGTGATATGTGCAACTGTGTTTAGGCCCATTGTAAATAAGGAAAATAGAAAACTTCCCACATTGTAACATTAATTGCCTAAAGACAGAACCCATGAAGAAATGCTATTCTCCAACCCTATTTTTACCCCTTATTATCTTCGGGTAGTAGAATGCCAAGAGCATTTAGAAAATGTATTTAGTCTAGAAATCAAATTTTAGCAATTAAAATTGATCTTTTAATTTTGCACACTGACCCTCCACAAAATAAAATCTCAAAATACAGTATAACAAGTGATTATCAAACAACATCCATAAAATTTATCAATAGTTAAAAATTTAGACAATTTCACACATCCTCTCTCTGCTGGCAAACCAAACAAATAAAAAGGGAAAACAGAACACAAAACTTGGTAAAATTAGTAAGAGAATAAAAACAACAGAAGTCACCTTTATTGATGTCTAATTTCCAATGTAAGTGCACATTCTATAGTACATCCTTTGAGGTCATTCAGGAGGAACTGATTTCACCATGGTTGGCTACTGGTTGGCTTTTTATTGCTTTGCTTATGTTCTTATGTTTTAATTATCTTTACAAAGATATTCACAGCCTTAAAATTTAATTCTTCTAAATTCAGTGCTTATTTTTATTCTATTACTAATGGCACCTGCTTCAAACTTTAAAATATTTATCACAATGAATATTAGTTTTTGTTTTTTTAAAAAACCACACGAATATTAAGTTTTGTTTTTTATCTCATTTTCTTTCCTACACTGTTCTCTTTTTCTTAAATTTCCTTTCTTTTGTCTCATGTTTTCACCTTCTCCAACTCTTTTCATAAATGTATGTCCACTAGAGATTTTAAGTCCTGAAAATTTTGTCCCTTCACTCAAATGCCATCTAAAAGTAAACTTTGAAAAAAAAATTGTTCTAAAGTAACTTAGTAGGTTGGAATAAAGAATAGGCGTGAAGACAGGAAGTTTCTTTCTTATCCAAAGCATGTAACAGTTTATTACAATACTTATAGTGTTAATAGGCTTAATAATAGAAGACCTTTCTTCTGTTTCTACATTACTGATAGTTATATTGTGCTACCTACTCCAACTATATATCCAAACTTCTATAAATTAGTTCATTTTATATAGAACAAAAACTACAGAAAGAAAATCATATATTAATGAGAAACTGAAAGGAGAAATTATCTTCAACCCTCTATTCAAACTCTTTCAGTGACATACATTTCTCTACATTTTTCTTAGTCCCTGAACTTCATGGAAAAAACAAACCATTGATCAATTATGTGGGGGATTCAGTTGTCTTGAAGTGTAAATGTCAAGATTGTTTTCCTTTAAATTGGACTTGGTACAGTAGTAATGGGAGTGTACAGGTAAGATCATATTTCTTTTATTTGAAGAAAACAAAAACTTTTATTTGGTAAATAATAAGATTATAATATACTCAGAGTTCTTAGGACTATTTATACCTGTTATCTTGTTCTTTAATATGTATTCATGAAGAAAAAACAGTGATGAACTGAGATGTCATGTGATGTTTTCGCATATTACATTATACATCTGAAGATGCTCTTAATGTTTCATTAGTTGGTACTTTGTTTTTTAGATTTAGAAATTTATTTAAATTCTATGAAAGGAAGTTAGAGTTCATTTTTTTTAATGAGTTTAGCTATAACCTCAACAAAAAAGTTTTTTTTTTCCTTATCATTCCATAAAAGTAACTAGGAGGGAAAAAAAAGGAAATTTTCTTCTCCTGCTTCTGTCTCTGGAAACATTTGATAGAATACAACATAATGGCACCATTTGAGAAGAGAATGAAAATATCATAACTTAAACTTAGGTCTTGGGTTATTCAATAAGTGTCATTGACCTCTTTTGGCTTTTTTTTTTTAAAGAATTAAAGGCTTTTCAGAGAGCTGATATTAAGGAAAACATCAGCATTTAAGAAATTATTTCTGATTCCCTTCCTCCCAAATAGCCTCTAGTAGCAGGGAAATTTAGGATGTTGTCCTTTAAGGGACACACTTCTATTGCCCTGGTGCTAATAAGCATTGAAATTAAAGTCCTGTACAATCAACTCTAGAAGGAACAGTCTGAGACAGTGTAGATTTTACAATGAAATATTACATTTTTTCTTAGACTACATTGATGCTCTCGTAGACCATTGTTGACGACAGAGGAAGGACTTGAAGAGTGACTCTGTGATAACATTGGTTTGAGTTTTCAAAGAAATAGCTCAAATCACTTAGGAGTAGACTTAAACCATTAATATCTGTACCTATCTTATTGATGCTCAGGAAAGACAATCATTGTGTATGTAAATATTTTTAAAAAGTATGTAAATTTGTAAAAACAAGTAACAGCTGTAGTTTTTGAAATACATAGCCTAATTTATTTATGCATATGTGATACTAGACAAAAAACAGCCTAAATTTAGTTAAATTAAACATGTAGAATGTAGTTTGTGCTTCTCTCCATTTGCTATACTAAGTTTCTCTCAGTTTGGCCCTAAGCATGTGTCATATTAGGGTGAGAAAAGTGCAGGGAAGAGGACACAAGTCAAAACTTTAGGTCAAGTGTTTTTGTCAAAATGTAGGTGGACCATCTGCATCAGACTCCCTGGGGTGGCTATGAAACATGTGGTACTTCGATGTTATCAGCTCTGAGTTGGAGAGCACAGCTGTAGCAAGAGTCACGGGCAATGTTGTGCACCCAGAGCCAGGCTCCAATAATTTTTTTGGCCAATAATAAACTTTCAGACAGTTCTTCATCAGATAACTTCCAAGCATATTTGTATGCAGAATAGCATTTATTAGCCTGAGAATAAAATTTAATTTAAATGGATTAAATAATCAGCCCCCAGACAGCTTCATATGGCTCTTGAGATGCTGAGGAAAACCCAGTGAATCTCAGAAGCCAACTTGTCTGAGACAGAGAGAGTTTTGGATATGATAAGACAGAAGGTGTGCAGACTTCCACGTATAGCAGGCTCACAGGGGATTTCTACCATTCCTTCCTTATCAGCATCAAAGCCTGAAGATTTGATCATCAGTTCCAGTCTGAGGAACTTCCAGTGTCAAGAGCCAGTGATATTCTTTTACAGGAATGGTCAGATTTAATAGCTTCATGAATTTAATAGCTGATTTAATGAATCTATGCCTGCGCTTATGAAGGAGGAAGTATTTTGAACAGCTTAGTCAGGGATTAGAACGTGAAACCTGGATGGCTGAAATTTTTCTGTGCTTCTAATTCTCATAGAATATTTCCTCACAATGATTTGCACACTGTAGTTCCAAACATTCATTGCCAAGTACTTAAAGCAAAGTACACTTTTCCTTTGCTTGCTACCTCTGAGAGATCAAACTCTGATAAGACTTGAGCTCTGTATGTATAACTTCTCTCAAATTTTAATATGCCTTTTTCTGATAAGCAGTTTTCTTGGCACTTTCACTCAAAACTAGATAACTCAGGACATGTATCTTTTATGCTGTATGATAAGAATGGATTTTAATGTCTCCTTATATTAGGTTCCTGTTGATGTTCAAATGAATGATAAGTATGTGATCAATGGAAAAAATGCTAATGAAACAAGGCTCAAGATAATGCAACTTTCAGAAGAAGATCGGGGGTCTTACTGGTGCCATGCAATATTCCAATTAGGGGAGAGTGAAGAACACATTGAACTTGTCGTGCTGAGTTATTTTGTGCCCCTCAAAGCATTTCTTGCAATAGCTGCTGAGGTGGTTCTTTTAGTGGCTATTATTCTGCTTTGTGAAATGTACACCCAAAAGAAAAAGGAGCACTCAGGTAGGATTACTTTTTTTTAGATAACATTCTCATGTTATGAGTTAATACATTGGCTTTAGAGTTTTTGGGGAAATTTTAACTTTTGTCATTTGTAGTGGTATTTATGTTAATATCAATGGTGACAGTGAGCTATGAGTGTGTATTAATGGTCTTACTGTTTCAACATCCTAAACATTTTTAGTGTTAAAATATACCTTTTTAATCCTTTCTTTGGTGTTATGAGTACCAACACACCAATTAGGTGATAAGTGATTTGATACTGGAATATTAGAAAATTCTATGGTTGTTTAATATAAAAGATCTCAAAGACAAACAATTATTTTCTCACTTAGATAACTCATTTTAAAAATTGTTTTATCAAACATTCTGGAGTTCTTATAAAAGAGACATCATCCTGTCAGTTTTCTGTGTTTATAGCCTGCAACTGATGGATTACAGGCTGAGAAACCAACAGTTCCCTAGGGAAATTTGTCTTATATTCTGTATACTTTCCTGATTTTGTACTAAGTTTTTAATAACTTAAATAGTTACAGATCAATCAATCAATCGTATTTTTGAAAATCTCAGGCACTAAACTAGGCTTGATCAAAGCTAAAGCTGCAGGCAATTTTGCACTGGGAGAACAGGGAAGGAGGCGGGCATGATGGAGGCGCAGCTGTCTAATGTAGCATGTCTCTTTCATTCCAATGAAGGGAAACAGCGCAGGCATTCAGAGGGTGTTGAATTCAGGGGAAAGTTGAATTGCGCATATATGCTCTGTAAGAATTTTAAAGCAATTTTAATAGTTAAATTCTTCTTTTGTTACACAGATGATGGGAAAGAATTTGAACAAATTGAACAGCTGTAAGTATTATTTTTTACAGATTAGTTTTAACTTGAGTAAAATTCAGATAAAGATGAAATCGAATAAAATGTTTGTAGTTAGAGAAAAAAAGCACAAGAGTATATTACCTGTCTGTTATTTTCTGTACATGTCCATGTTGTGCTTAAGAATGGCATTTGGCGTTTGCTTGCCTGCAGCAGAATCCCCCTCCACCACTTATTTTCACCTACCTGTGCTTCAGTTTTCTCCTCAACAAAATGGGTTTAATGATAATACTTACCACATGGGGTTTTTGGATTAAATGACTTTCTGTGTGTAAAAATGCTTAGCATAGGCTTTGGTAACCATAAGGAAGTATCATTTGTGTAAAAGCAATGGTTCTCAACCCTGGTTATAATTTTTGATCACTTAGGATGTCCCTTAAAAATTACTCAGACCTAACTGGATCTCTTGGATCAAAACCTCTGGAATTGTGCCTGGGCGTCTGTATTTCTTTAAAGTGTCTGTCACTGATCCTGATTTTCTGTAATGTTGAAAATCACTGGGCTAGAATTCTATTACTCATTATTTTTGAAAATGCACAAGTGTGCCACTATTTTACTTACAGTCCCCTTTGTTTAGAGTTGAACATGAGGAGAACTGGGAAGAAAATACCAGGGATGTAATGTGGTTTGGTGAAGGTGGGAGTTGCTAGTTCCACCAAACCAGAGACCTGAGAGTGGAGCCCAGGGATGGGGATGCCCAAGACTAGGGTTCAGTCAGAGTAACAGAGCCACGGCTCAGGACCAGGAAAATGAGACCCTATCCAAGCAGCTGAAAGAAACCTAGGAAGTGGGAGGCCTGAGCAACCATCACCAACACAAAATGCAGCACTTGAAGTTTATCTCTGTCAGCCAGCCGGGGCTCTGAGGTGGGAGAGCTATGGCCACTGTTAAAGAGCAGGTGCGGGGCAGACGGTTGTCATGCAGATGTGTAGATACTATTCAAATAGTTATTTTTTACTCAATTCACACAACAGCAGGTAAAATAAATCAACAGGATATGAGCTTCTATCTGAATTAAGGGCATGAAATAATTGTATCAGGAGTTCCATAATCCCAGGCAGGAAAAAAGCAGTGTTGTCTAAGAATCAGAGACTCTCATGGTTGGAAGAGAACTGAACCGCTTTTTGAAGAACTTGGACATCTTGTTTATACTGATTTCAAAGTTTTTTTATTTCTGGTTCACATGTGTTTATTACCTTTCTTATACTTGGAGTCATATTACAAAACATGACAGTCATTCAGGTATTTGAAACAGTTACAACCTTGCCCAGATTCTCCCAGCTCAGCCTCCCCAGTGTTTCTGTCCATTCCCTTGCAGTCACATTTGGGTCTCAGCGCATTCTGGTTTGTTTAAGACAGACTCTGAAAGGATGGTGCTTGAACAGTATGGAGTAGACAATCAATTCTTAATAATTTAATTTTCATTTGCATAGCCCACTGTATTTAAATAATATTCTAAATGTAGTTTTTCTTATAATATCTTAGGAGCAATGTCAAACTGATTTGATCTATAGTATAATGAATTAATTTTCTTTTCATTTATTGATAATTGGAATGTTGTACATTGTTTTCTCCATCCTATACTGTTCCACAGAGATCACTGACAGTGTTTTGGTTTTCTCATCTTTAGGTTATTTCAGAATCTTTAGATTTAATACAAGGATTAAGGACACTTGTACTCAATCAGAGCAAACTTTTACTAATGCCCTTTTAGAATTTTTGGTTAGGTGATAAACTTTTCTTTACAGAGATTATTTATCAGTAAAATTTATATATGATGTTTATATATATGTTTAGATACCAGTTATTTGTAGAGTTTCTTGGTGAAAATGACTTTTAAAAATAGTACCAAGCGTGTAACATCCAAACAAGCTAGTCACTTCAGACAGTTCGATGAGGAGCTCACTCATTTATCTGATCCACTCAGATGTGTAATCCATACAATCTCACCTACGCGCCCCGTCCCCCAAATTCTGACATAATTGATTAGGTGGTTGAATTAATTATCTGGTGATACTAGCTTAATGAGCTCAAGCCTTCCCAGAACATCTAAAAGTGTAGTCATTATATATCCTAGTTTACATTCCTGTCTTAACAATCTGGAGCCCACGTTGCAGTGCACAATGGGTAGATAAAGAACCATGTTTAACTTCTAATTCAGTGAATAAACATGTTAAATTACAGCACCCGTATCTCACATATTGGCTGAATCTCCTGATTGGCTATTATCTTGCATGTGTCAAAGCAACATGTAAGTTATGGCCATATACCCAAGCCTCCACCATGCTTGGGGAGAAGCAGTTCTCCCTCTGCAGAAAATAAACAGGCCTTTGTCACTGTCATCTGTGGCAACAATTCCCCCCCAAGCAATGGCACACAAACAAAATCAACATTATGAATAAATATTTTTAGGAAGAATGAATTCTGTCTGTATTGACCTTTTATAGTTTATCCTGATGGCCATGATATAGATGACATACTGATGTTTACTGCACTGTAAACATCTAGCAATTTTCTTTTTTGCTTTCCATACAGGAAATTAGATGACAGCAATGGTATAGAAAATAATGCTCCCAGGCACAGAAAAAATGTAAGTTGCTTCTAAATGATATTTCAAGTAAAAGCTAAAATTCAATATGCGTAGGCTATCTATCAATCCATCTACATTTTTTAACTTCATAAAAAACCTAGTCATTCAGTATGTGCTTGAATATGCTTTTTTTTACAATATTATAGGAAAATATAGTTATACAAAAATAAATGGCATCTTTTTCCACCAGAGAACGTTACAACCAGTCTAAAATAAACCTATTGCACCGCAGATAATATATTTTTTCACCTGTCACCATAGGCTAGTTTCTTTTACGATTTTTAATGTAGTCTTATTTTTTTCTTTCTCAGTCTTTATGAATTCTGCTATTTTATTCTCATATATTCCCATATATTTGTGCTATGAATGAATCAATATTAGCTTATTCTCTTTACTGATTAGAATCAAAATTTTCGTAATTCATCAACATTTTCTTTCCTGAGTATTTAGAATAGGAACTGTTGGTTTTGGCAGTACTTTGGATCACCTCTTCCCAGAAATCTCTGCTTTGCTAAAGTGATAAGTTATTGTAGAGTAACTAGGATATGCTAATTATGTTTCTTTATGCTTTATGAAACTCAGGAAGCTGTGGGCCAATGAATGAGAAGCATCATGTCAAGAGTCATGGGAAGATGCACAAAGAGTTTAGATTTCAGCTTTGCTTATGGCTTCCTGTTAAGAACACCCGAGTTTCTATTTTTAAAAGGATGAAAATTTTATGCAAAATGCTCAGCAGCAGCTTTGTAAATAATATATGCTATTTCAGATCTAAAGATATATTTTCATTCTGTAATTATTTTGCATTAAAGCAAGGTAAATTGTATTAAATATGTTCTATGAGCTGTAACCCAGGATAATTCATTACATTTTGGTCCTTAAGGGACACAAAGAACAGACACCAGCAAAACCAAATAGTACATAGAGCCAGTGTCACTCAAGACCTGCTTATAACCAAAGAATCTATTAAAGACAAAGCCTTTGCCATTTCTCTTAAAACGTCTTTTGCCCCAATCATGTTTACTATGTATAGAAGTATTTGTATTAATTTTCATGTAAAGTCAATCCTTCAGTCATATTGAAAAAAAGTCTCCTCAATGGGAAATAAGTACCTTTTGCCTTTGTTAATGATGGTTACTCTACAATCTCCACCAAAAAAACCCATGCTTTTCCTCCAAAAATATTGGTTTAAGGCAAGGAAATAAAACCATACACTTGCCCCAATATCCATCACTCCAAACCAGATTTTTCAGTCTTATTCCAGTCATCTCCACTGTTTTTACACCAGGCTAAAGTGATTATTAGTCTTTATAAAGAACATTTTTTTTTAAAGCCACTGGTTTTGGCTGTCTTGAGTTACAGCAAGTGTTGACATTGCAGGGTACAGGTCCACACAGTCACAGGTGAGCACTGTTACAGAACGTGCTTCTGTAGTTCTTGGTTTCCTGGTATCCATGGCTGGCTAAATATCTAAAAATGCATTATTAGTGCTTTATAATACTAATGCTTTTGTCTGAAATCAAGAAGTACTAAAGTACTAAGGTACAAAAATAGAATACTTTGTTTCTATTGCATATATAACTGAATTATTTTATAAAAATCACTGTAACCAAACCCAGTGGAATCTGAATAGACAGGAAAAGTTGTCAATGGCTCTGAATGGTAATATATTAATATCATATAGCACAATACTAGGTTAGGTTGAATATTGTGTGAAACCTGCTGGGGATCCTTGGTGCTGGTGAGTCCACGGTCCCCCTGCTTGTGGTGCAGCAGAGTAAAGAACAGCCATAGACAAAGAGGGAAGAGTTGGGGATGGTGGCAAAGAACCCACAGTCTTGGTGACTAGGGGATTAAAGCTGGAAAAAGAGAAGTTCAGTTGTTTGGAAAAAAATATAGAAATTTATACATTGTTCTGGCTGAGAAAATTATAATAAAATTCTAGTAGTGAAAATTATACCTTATAGGGCATCTTAACTAATGTTAAAAATATTACTGGTCTGAATAAAGTGTGACTTGGAAGCTACTCATTATTTGGTTGCAACAGTGTTTTGTGTAAAGCATGTTAATTATACACCCAGGTTTTTTTTGTTTATTAAGTTATTTTTTGAGGGGAGGGAGGTAATTAGGTTTATTTACTTATTTAATGAAGATACTGGAGGTTGAACCCAGGACCTTGTGCATGCTAAGCACGTGCTCTACCACTGAGCTATATGCTCCCCTCCCAAGTTCTGCTGAATAGACTACATCCTTTAAGTAATGGCAGATTTCATCTTATTCTTGTCTCAGAGCCATAAGCCATGGATTTGTTTTGGTTTAATTAATTATTAATATGGTAAAGTGATC